GGTCAGGAAAAGAGCTTCCTCTCATCCATCTGATGCTGACACAGATCTTTGCATTCAGCCCTTTAGCTGCTTGCCTGCAGGCACACACACACCCTACTCCCTGTTGTTAGGCAACCTGAACAATGTGGCTGCACATGCAGGCTTTGGTAACTTGGATTGTCCCCTTTCTTCCTTGAGTAATCACTTCACGTTTTTTCCCCCTCCCCTCTTTTCTTGCAATCAAGATGGGCCTAAGTTCAGGGGCAGGTTCTGCTTTGGGGATGTTGGGATCACCAAGGAGGAATTAAAGAATAATTTCCCCTTTCCAAGGGAAGCTTTTTAAAAAAACAAAAAACCCTTATGGAATTAGTTTACTTTTTTAAAGAGCAGTTACCCAGGGTGAGAGATGTCTAATTAAGGTGCTAAGAAACTGCTTTCTGACAAGTGCTGCTAATTGAAAACTTAACAGTGATTCACTTGCTGGCTTTACTGAAATTCGAAAGCTTCTGGTGAGGATTTTCTGACTGATTGTAAAGTCAGGACAGACAAAAAGAGCGAAGCGATGCAGTGCATATTTTCTGCTCAAAAAGCCCTTAAATCCACACACCTCCATGAGACTTATAATTTAGTACAATTGGTTTACATTGGGGTGTGTGTGTGTGTGTGTGTGTGTGTGTAGGGATTTTCAAGACTATGGTTGCGCTGCAGATCATGGAATATTTCTCAGATTGCAGAACCTGCCACTACATGGTGACAAACTGAGATTGCATTTTTAAAAATAGAATGGGTTTCTAGCTCTCACGATTGCAGGCAGAAAATTGACAAAAGTTTGAACAGGTTTTTAGCAAAACTTTGGGATAAATGAAGCACAGGGCATTAAAACAAAAGCTTGTAAATGCCACTTTCTGGTGATTAAAAATCAACACCATGTGACCAGCTATGCAACCTTTCACAAATGGGAAGATGGCTGATTTCTTGGTTTTAGGTGCTTGTTTACAGTGCTGTGAGAATCTTAGCTGTTTTTTTTTCTGCAGCAGGGGCAACACAACTGCCATCTTCAGAAAAGGTGTTTGTCTGTGCAGCTTGTTTGCTGATAAAACAAAAACTATTGAGGGCTGATCACTTTCCAGAACATTTTGGAACTAGGGGTGGTAAATACAAATGGTAACTTATCATGGTATATATTGAAATAAATAGCACCTTTGTAGTCCTTTAAGGGTACTTCTATAAGGCTGAATTGCAGGAAAGTAGGATTTATACTAAACACCAGGAGAAATTTCTGTCCTTCAGGAAAAAAATAATCATTTTGACTCAGAGATGTGTTGCCTTAGGTGTCTGTACATACTGTCAAGGAAGTCTTTGTCAAGGTTGCTCCAAGTATTCATCCTTTCCCAGTTAAGAGAATAATAATTGGGGGGAAATAATTCTGAATTTGTGTGCCTCCAGTTTTGCGCCAGCTATACTACTGGCATGATCAATGGCTGCTGATGCAAGATAGGCACAGAGATTTAAATAACTGCATTTAAAACTCTGCAAGCTTGCCTACTTTGTAGGACATATTTGAGCTGCGACTGATTTTCTAATTGTAAACGCCTGGGGTTTTCAGGATGCTATTGCAAACCCCTTGATCACACCCAGCTATATTTTCCCCTCCTAAGTCTACAGCTTTTGGCATTGAGGAAACACATTGGTAGAGAATACCATTAATAATGAAGATCTTCCAGCATCTTATTGCTAATTGTTTTCTTAGTGCTGCGGAAAATAAATCTGTGTGGCTTAAGCAGCCGCTTGGTGACAGTCTATGGGTAGTTCATTTCTTCTGCATAACATGACCTTAATTTAATACGCAATTTATTGTTTTGTTTTACTCCTTCTCTCCTCTCCCCCCCCCTACCCCAATTGTAGGTTCAGCAAACTGAGGAGCCTTAACCTTTCCAACAATCATTTAGGAGAGTTCCCATTGGCAGTCTGCAGCATTCCAACCTTGACTGAGCTCAACGTGTCCTGCAATGCACTCAGAAGTATTCCAGCAGCCGTCGGTGATATGAACAAGTAGGTACAGATGGCCAAGGGCAGCATGAACCCTAAGTGCACCGACTCCTCCCAGGGGGTTAGCCTGGGTCAACGATGCCTGAGTCATGGCAAAAGTGTGTGCTAAACGCCTAAGCACAACTAAATCTGTAACGGCCAGCAAAAGTGCCGGTGTATGATTCACTTCTTCACATACAGAGGACTTAAGCTGTGAAAAACTCTTATATACTAGCACCTTCACTGGGGTCCAGAATATTGCAGCAATATTATTATTATTATTATTAAATTGATTGATTGTGCTCCATCCATCTGACTCAGTTGCCCCAGCCACTCTGGCTGGCTTCCAACAGGATATACAAAAACACAACAGAGCATCCCACATTAGAAGCTTCCCGATACAGGGCTGCCTTCAGATGTCTTCTAAAAGTTGTGTCGTCGTTTATCAGTTTGACATCTGATGGGAGGGCATTCCACAGGGCAGGTGCCACTACCAGGAAGGCCCTCTGCCTGGTTCCCTGTAACCTAAGGGTACCAGATTTTTTTCAATGAATCCGGGGACACTTTTCAACTTCAATAGGAATGGTAGGATTTTGTCAGGGGACTGATTTGTAAATCCAGGGTGACCTTACTGTAACCTCACTTCTCACAACAGGGGAACTGCCAGAAGGTCCTTTGGAGTTGCTGCAATACATGTTTATAAAGAGTTGTTTTTTGGGAGGGTTTAATGCTGCTGTTGACAACCCCCTCTTCTCTTCAATAGCTTACAGACCTTCTTGTTGGATGGGAACTTCCTCCAGAGCCTTCCCGCTGAGTTGGAAAGGATGCCCCAGCTTAACTACCTGGGTCTTTCTTTCAACGAGTTCAGCGGCATTCCCGAGGTGTTAGAGAAGCTGCCTGCCATGGACAAACTCTGTATGTCTGGAAACTGCATGGAAACGCTCTGCTTGCAGGCACTGAACAGAATGCCACACATCAAACATGTAGATCTAAGGTACGTAACCTAGCAAGAGAACGGGTGAAGCTCAAGAGTGAAGATGGCTGTCCGCATCGTTTCAAGATATTGGCTATGACTGGTCACAAATTTCATATGCAGATGCTGAACTTTCGAGCAAGGGCATTTAGTGCTAGGGGTGATGTTTGTTAAATATCTCTGCTTCTTTTCTCACGCAAGCGATCAAATTAAGAGTGATTTCCTCTACAATAAATGTAGGCTTGGCAGTGTTTAGTTGTCATATTATTACATTAGCCTGCAGAATCGAGAAATGAGCTGTTTTAACCAACCAGAAATACCGTATTTTTTGCTCTATAAGACTCACTTTTTCCCTCCTAAAAAGTAAAGGGAAATGTGTGTGCTTCTTATGGAGCGAATGCAGGCTGCGCAACTATCCCAGAAGCCAGAACAGCAAGAGGGATTGCTGCTTTCACTGCGCAGCAATCCCTCTTGCTGTTCTGGCTTCTGAGATTCAGAATATTTTTTTTCTTGTTTTCCTCCTCCAAAAACTAGGTGTGTCTTGTGGTCTGGTGCGTCTTATAGAGCAAAAAATACAGTAATTTCTCATCCTCATGCAAATACTCTTGACCTTGTATGTGAGGGATTCAATCCCTTACCTCAGGGGTAGGACCTGTGGGCCAGTTTTGGCCTGCCAAAAGGTCTGGTTTGGCCCATGAGGCCATTTTCCCTAAACCATGCCCCTTTACCCATCAACTGATGTCACCAATGACATCTGCTGATGGGTGGGGCCTTCTCTTCTCTCCGCCCCATCCAAACTGAATAGAATTTTTTTAATTTAAAAAATACAACATTTAAAACAATGTACATATCATACAAAATTCTTAAAATGCTCATAGGTTTTGGGCATTGCCTGATAATTCCAAATACAGTTGCAGGGAGATGCCTGTGTTTTAATGGGTTAAGGAGTTAGAGCAGGTTGAGGAGTTAACTTATGCATGCTAGAAGATGGCATATGGTGTAATCTAGGGATGAGAGCACTTAAAAAAAGAAAGAAGTGCAGTCCTGGTCCTTCCAGAGCTTTCATTGCCCCCCAAAGCATTCTACTGATTGTGTGATTTAATCGATCTTGTCAGCTCAGCACTGAAAATAAAACTGAACTCTTCAGAGTGCAATGAAATTGTACAGGTGGCTGCTTTTTATAGATCACCTTTGTTTCTGCAGCAAGTCAAGGACTGGGCAGGACAAGTTCTCTCGAGCTGCCATGATTTATAATATGTGCATGTATGGGTTTGGGTGACCCACCCCAAATATAAAATACTGACCTATTGCATCACATCACCATTGTCAAGTGTTGGGATTTGGGTGGGATGTAAACTTTTATTATAATGCCGTGCCCAAATGGAGAACTTGGAATATGTGCAGAGCTTCATGTTTTTAATCCCCTCTTCCCCACTTTTTTATCCTCTGAGGAATTCTAAGCAGTGCTTTAGTCTATGAAGGTATTCATATATTATAGTGGAAGTCCTAAGTTTGGGGAATGTCGCATTCCCATTTGAACATCTGCAATCCCGGAAGAATTTTGTGTATAAGCAAAATCTCAGAAATGCACCAAGTACTAACATCCACTCAAAGTAAGAGTTGTCAGCATACACTGGTGTATATCTCCCTCTTTGTCAGTCATACACCATCAATTAATGTTGACAGTGGTAAAGTGATCTGGGATTGTTGATGTTCATATGTGAATGTTGATGTTCGCTGCACTTTGGAAAATGCATGTTTTCATTGGCTGGGATTATTCAGCATACGTCCTGATTGCAAGAAGGATGCATATGGTTAAGCTGAACGGAACCCCACTTTGGCTGCAACCAGTTCAGAACTAATCAGAGCAGTATCAAGCTTCATTTTGCATAGGCACAATCTCCAGTAGCAAAACTGCAAAAATGATGATAAAAATGCAACCTGCTAGTTTATGGAACTGCAGAGCTGGAAGGGCCCACAAGGATCATTTATTCCAACTCCTTGCAATACAGGGATCTTTCACCTACCATGGGGCTCAAACCCTTGACCCTGAAATTAAGAGTCTCGTGCTCTACCAACCGAGCTATCTCTCAGCATCCTCTAATGCCCCAGCGAAATGAGGGACAGATACTTGGGAGCAGTTCATACTGTTTGCCTCACAACCTATCAGTGGTGGGTTCCAAGATTTTCAGCGAAAGGGTCTAGTGTATGACCTGGGGAGTGCTTGAAGATGTAGCGTTAGAAGGTAGACCATTGGAGACCTCCATGTAAGTCACTATGAGCTTTTCATAAAAACAGGGCCCATTTGAGCACCAGATTTTGGGCTTGTATTTCATTTTTACTTGGGACACTGAGAAAATGATAGTTTTAGAGCCAAAACTTCGGCTTTCCAACCTCTTGCTGACATACGCCCATCAATAGCATAGTTCTTTTCCTCCCTCTCTTACTCCAGGTTAAATGTCATTAGGAGGTTGGTGGCGGACGGTGCTGATTTCCTACATCACGTCACCCAGCTCGATCTTCGGGACAATAAACTAGGCGAGCTCGACGCCACCATCTTCAACAACGTTGAAATACTGCACTGTGAAAGAAACCAGCTGGTCAGCCTCAAAATCAGCGGATATTTGCTTAAAGCTCTTTACGCCACTTCAAATGGTAAGTTCGCTTTGAAGGCAGTTCAGACAAGGACTAGGTGTTTTCTGGTCTGCTCGTCTTACAGTGGATTTGAATGCTGTGTTTAGGTTCAGGATTCATCCAGCCCCTAGCGCACAAGCGCGATACAAACCATTTAGAGGACCAACATGCCAGTGTTAGTCAGAAATGAATAATAATGCATTCATACTGTGCATTTTAAACATTCAGCTTACCTCACATATATGTTACTGAAATACTGGAGCGATTGGCCTGGACTTTCTGTGAAGATGACAACATACCATAGGTAACCGATAATTTCAGTCCAAAGCCTGCTGCCTGTCTGATGCCTACTGCAAAATTTAAGGTTTTTGGCTTCCCTACATTGGTGTTAATTTACTCAACAATTCTGTGATGGTTGTCACCAACTACTGCTGCTAGGAAAGACCATTTAGCATGCATTTAAGTTCCATCACAGGCTATATTTTCATGTTCCGTTGCCATTTATCTCCAACCTTTTACATTCCTCCCCCCTTAACATCTGTGTACATTTGTATGTACATACATCTGCCTGAAAACTGAGGTTCACACCCCATGCGTCTGACGAATGCTTATGCCATATTAACATTTTTTAGTTTTTAAGGTGCCACATGCCTCTTTGTTGTATCATTTCTTTTTTTAGTTTCCTTTGGACTTCATCATGACACATGTAACAGGAAAGCCTGTTGTCCCTTGCTCTGGTTTTCAGAGTGGGCTAAGCTTTTTCTGCAGCAAGAACAACCCTCAGGCCAAAAAAAGTCCACTTGTATAAATTATGCAAATAAAGTGGATTTGCACAACTGTCTTTTGCATAAAGCTGTTTCTGCTGAGCATAGGACCTTGAGGTCTTCTCTCTCTCTGCTGGAAGCACTGAAGAATTGATTGAAGTAGGCAGCTGAGCTTAGTGAGTTACGAACAGGCAGCAGTAGCTTTCATTCTTCTGCCGTCTCCCACCTCTGGACTGCATGGCACCTCTTCTGCCGTCTCCCACCTCTGGACACCATTCGTTCATGGTGATTGATTTGTTGTGTAACCTCTTAGCCCTTTTTGATTAATAAAAGAAAGAAAAGACCATCCTAAATTTCCCTGTGCATAACCGTATAGTTGAGCAGTGGCATCGGTTTCAGAAATTGGCAGCAAAATCCAAGCATTGCCAAACCATTGTTTCAATGGATATCTGGACTGATGAACGTTGTAATTGTAGGATTAGGCTTTGCTAGTTCTGTGCATAAAAATGGATATGGCTGCTAATCATGAGTTGAAGGATTTAATGTAAGGTCAAGAGGGTGCTAGGATAGACTTCTTGTCTACAAACCAAAGGCAGTGCAATGAAGTGCTGCTGGTGTTGCTGTGTGAAGAATAGCCTTGGGAAATGATTGGGTGAGGAATCATTGATTTACTATAAGCCTAGTTCTCGCTCAGGAGATAAACCTATGTCTGGGTTGTATCACTGCAGACAGGGTTAGTCAGTGATTGAATGCTTCTCTATACCATGAAAAGTGAAAAATTCCTCCCCGCAGAATACTAGACATTGGGAAGAGGATTTAACTGTTGATGTGGATGTTTTCTGTGTGGAAGTTGTGTGTGTGTGTGTGTGGTGAATTCCACAATCGTGGAATTTCTCTCCCTGCCTCGTAGCAGTCTGAAGTGGTGCATCACAAACACACGAATCAAACCTTAAAAATGTCTTAGTCCTGGGGATAAAAATATTCCTTGGGCTCTCAGATTTTGTAACTTACTGGACTTGTAGTTCAGATCACAGAACTGATTTGAGACTGGATTTTAGGAAGCAGCAGCAGAAGGAAAACTTTCCTAAATAACAGAGAACTATGTCTGTTGGAAGCTAAGGAGAAATGGAAGAAACCACTATCTGGTGTACAGTGGTACCTTGGTACTCGAATGGCTTGGCTCCTGAACAAATTGGCTCCTGAATGCCGCAAATGCGGAAGTAAGTGTTCCGGTTTGCGAACATTTTTTGGAAGCCGAACGTCCCAACACAGTTTCTGCTTGAGTTCAGGAAGCTCCTGCAGGCAATCGGAAGCCGTGCCTTGGTTTTTGAACTGTTTCAGGAGTCGAATGGACTCCCGGAATGGATTGAGTTTGAGTACCAAGGGGGGCCACTAGGGGGCTCATTGGAAGATGGCCGACAATACCATCTCTCCGACCCACACGGGGTAATTAAGAGGCTGTTATGGGAGTAGGCAGCCTCCCTGTTGCCCCAAGGAAATGAGGAACACTGCCCTTGCCTGCTGTGCCCATAAATCACCCCCTAATTCGAAAGAAGGGGGTGAGGGCCCTAGGCAGAATGTCCCCGTGTGGACATCGGCTCTCCTGGACGCTGTCTCTGATCGCGCACTAGTTGCAGCAATTTGGAATAATTAATTACAAAAGAAGCAAATGCACATATTTCAAGTGAAGAAGGGGAGTGAAGTCTGCTAATTTAAGTGACCTCTGCGAAAGAAGACGACGGGCTGGAGAAACAGGAATATTTTACGATGAAGATACACCAAAGGCGGGGTATGTTGACAACGGGGCTGAATGGGGGGGGGACCTTTTTTTACTTTCCTTCTATGTGATTTACAAGAACCCCTCCTCATTAGAACCGTCGGTTGAACTGACCCAAGCAGGATGATTAAGGTCTGTGTGGAGATAAACTTTAACCAGAAGTATGCTTTATGGAAACCGAGATGCAATAAGAGCTTTTGGGAATGGCACAGCAATTAATTTGGAGTCGCCATCTTGCCAAAGGATTTATAGCCGGGAGGAAGAACGGATTTGTTTTCAGACTGCATTCCTAGTGAATCTCCTCAGAGGTTTTGAGAAAGGAGGCAGATTGGTGAAGATTAATGACGCTAAGACTGTTTTGATGTATGGAAGTGATGTTATATGGAAAACGTCTGGATATGGCTACTGGATAAAAATTAATATCCACGCAGGATTACAAACAGTTCTAACCAGCTTATGGAGACTATCAGAGGTCACAAAGAGAAAGGAAAAATATATGAAAATAACAACAAGAGATGTGGAAAAATAATAAGAAAGGACTGGATAGTACTGTGAACATCATAAGGTTAGATTTGTGGACATTAAAACAGCAGTAAGAAGCAAGAAGTTGATTGGATCCCTTCGGAACTTGAAATAACAAAAATTTAAAATTCGGCTGTGCAATTTGGAATTTATGTAATTTGGTTTGATTTGATGTGATTGGTCGGTTAATAAAAAATTATTCTTAAAAAAAAAAAAAGAGTTTGAGTACCAAGGTACCACTGTACTATTTCTATTGAAGACCCCTTTAAGCCATATTAAATATTCTTTACTGTGTTCGATGTACAATTTGTATGATGGGGAAACAACAAACCTGGGAAATAGGAAGTAGTGCATTATTTTCATTGCTGATTTTTCTTTGTTTCTGGTATATATTAATTGTGTTCCTTTCACAGAACTTGTTCACCTTGATGTGTATCCAGTTCCGAACTATCTGACTTACATGGATGTTTCTAGGTAAGCCCTAATATACCTTTTTGAAAATACAGTGCTAGCATGACTGAAAAAGAAAAATTACTGTAGCCTTGCTAAGAGGGCTTGTAGAGACACAAAGGTTTTCCGATTCCATGCAAGCAATGCTGTTTCTGATGCCTGCACGCTAGGATTAAAACAACATGATTCTAAGCAGAGGAGGTCATTTGCGTTTTTGAGCATTGTTGTGGGTGGTTTGGTTTGTTTTTTTTTGTTTTAAAAAGAGCACCAGACCTTGAGTTGTCCTAAAGAGCGAAGCGACTGTTTTGTCTAAACAAGAGCACCAAAGAGACAAGGGTGTTGCCTGAGGGTGCTGCCAGTGACTTGAAGCATACAAGTGCATGAGTCAATGTATTTGCGTGCCAGAATCTCATCAGTATATGCGCATGGATAAGTAATTTATTAGAAAAATCAGTGTGTTCTCCCCCCCCCCACCGTTATTTCCACAAGTCATCGTAATGAGGAATATTTGACTTCCCAATATCTGAGGCTAGCTATGTTGACAGCTTGTTTTCATAACAAGATTATATATTCACTTTCTTTTCTCATATCTTTGATTATCGTGGCATTTATTGCACAACCCCAAAATGTGAATGATGCACTATTTGTCTTCCTGCAAGTACGTTTCAGCTTAAAGCTGTGTTAGGGATGAGTAAAGCCTTTAAAAAAAAATCCCCTTATTTTCCAAGCTGGTATTCTACTGGAAATGTACTCAGTTCACTATAAGCAAAGCACTGTTGATAGTGTAAAGGACAGAGCAGGACAGAGCTGCAAGCCAGCATTTTGTGTAAACTTCCCCTGGGCTGAATAAGAAAATAGCTAAACATCCTGCTCTGTTGCCTTATTTAAAACCCACCAAAGAAAAAGAGATCCATACAGCAGGATGTATTTGTGGGCACAAACTTTCAT